ATTGTTAATGAAATGATTAAATCTCAACTCTTTGAAACCATTATTTTTTCACGTTTCGCTCAAATCATACATCTCTGTTAATATGATAATCATTTTGAAATTGAATATTTCATCAAATTCCCAAGTGAAAATTGAGTAAAGTCTGCAGTGAATTATCTTCAATTTACATTTCATTAAAGAATGAAAATAATCTAACTATTGAAACTCTCTTTTCATGGTAACTTTAATAGGCATTCTTGAAATGCAATTCAATGAAATTCAATGATAATGAATCTTTTGCTCTACATTTACCATCATTTTCGAGCTTCAAATTTTGAATATAAATCAATTATTATTGATAATCGGTAACGAAATAATGAAAATTAAGTTTTCCAAATAAAAATTCTCTCAACATGGCGACTTTTGGAATCATCTTTATAACATTTAACAAGTTTGTATTTCTTTTTCCCTGAAAAAAGTCAATTTTCCTGGAAACATTTTTCTCCTCATTAAAGATTTAAATATTTCAATCAAATTGTTGGTTAACTTGAGCCAATGTTTCATCCTTTTTTTATTCATACTTCAACTTGTTTGACAATTTAAATTCATTCAGATGGAAACTGAATAATGCTTGGATTCATTGAAGAAAAGGTTGATATTATCTTGAGATTTAATTAAGAGATTTCACTGTTACTTGGAGTGGATGACAATCTTTGTCATTGATGATTCTCATCATTTTTTTCATCTTTTTTTTCTTCGTTCTTCGTCTCTTGTCTAGGAACATGTTTTGTTTCATTATTTTTTCATCAATTTTCATCCCTTTTTTATGCTCATCGCCATCATTATAGATTATTATGATCATGATTGAAGTCACCTAATCAACTCAATAGCTACACAAAAGGGATTGATTGAACAGGGAATTGAGCTTCCATTGGTCTGAATAAGAAGATGCCTTTTCTCTTCAACGTGAATTGAAGCTCAATGCTAATTGATGATATTTATTTGCTTTCATCTCTTTACCTTAATAGGCTAATATTTTACAGGTAATGATCCAACATGTCCTTTGAATAGATGATGAGAGGAGTTTCCAAATGAAAAATCATCTTTATTGTCACATTGAGCCGCAATTATTATAATCGCAAAGTTTCATCTTCTTTTCTTTTCGTTTTTTGTTCTTCAAGTTGCAAAGTTTGTCAAACTAATAGACTCGATTCATGGTTAATTGGAAGAGTTACAAGAGTCCCAGAATATCAGAGAATATCAGAGAATTTTTGGATTTTTCTTTTTCTTTTCTGCTTCTCGGACGATATATTTTTTGCAAGCATTGTCATTTGTCGATTCAGCTGAACAGTAAATCGCTTCAATTCTGACTATTCTGTTTGATTTAAGTTGATCAATTTTGTATCAACGATTTTGCCTTACTATTTATTATTAATTTCAACTTGATTCAAGCGATAAAAAAAAGTTTGTCAAAGAAAACAAAAATTGCTTGTCAATGTCTGTTAAATGAATGTAAAGCTATCTGATTATCTCTTGTTTGAACAGAAAAAAAGGTGAATAAATGACATTATAGATCAGTTTCATTCTTTTTTTCTAGCTCATTTAAGCTCACTGGAAATCATTGAATTGAATCAAAGTAATCTCTTCTCATCATCATCAAAATAATAACAAAATGTATATTCATTTGCTATTTTGTAAAACTTTTCCCTCCCAGTGAAGCTCATCTTATAACATTAGATATACCAAAAATGAATGAAATCCATTCAATGTTATCAACGAAACGAGCAAGTCGATCAACTTTGCAAGTCGAAATTCAACGCTAACCAGTCAATTCGAAGTATCGCAACTCTTACAAAATATTTAATCACAATTAATGTCTTAATGAAACTGATTTTATTTAGAACTTTCATTTGATACAATTTCGAGATAATTTACATTTTTATAAGAAAAAGCAAAATTCCAACATGAAAAGTAACTTTAATCAGTTTAGATGAACTTTGTTTGCTCAGTAAAAGATATAAAATTAAAATGAAACGAAAGACCAATAATCTTGATAGACATTGGATTCAGTATATTCAGCTTGTTCAACATTTTGTTGCCTTTGCCAGTCTATTTAACGGATATTATCCTATCATGGAATATTAATAGAACAAATCGCTTGCTTGTTCTTTTTCTAATAATAGTTTTATTCATTTTCTTTTGATTATCAAACAATATTTATCCAAGTTTCACCATTCAGTCTGTGTACGTAAAAGGTGGTTGAACGTATTCAGTGTCCTTCATGGTGAGAGAATGCATTGCGAATTTGAAATGAACTTTTGGTGAATAAAGTGCAAGGTAAATGGAGAGTAATTTCAAGCCATTTAAAGATGGTTAAAGAGAAGAGAAGAAGGTTGGAGTAAAGATGAAGAGCAAGAATGAATTGTAGATGAATGATCAATTCAGGGCAGATGGAAATATTCATGGAACCATAAAAATCTGTGGAATAGAGAATGTTATTCTCAGTTGAAGAACTGTTTCACTCTTGAATCTTTTTCTTCTTCTCTAGTTTCTTGTAAGTTCATGTCTGGGAATTGATAACTGGGAGTGTTTATGCACTAGTTTTTTTGCCTCTTACAGTTAGCATCAGGTTGAAATGTGTTGGTATAAAAATTGGTAAACCAAAAATACTTTTCCTGTCTAATTCATGTTCCCATGTTTCATGGGCAACCTTCATGTCTATACACATAAACATCTTGATGGTGTATACTTGAATAATAACCTGTGGGGAAAAAGTTTGAGACTTTTTGGTTTTTTTCTTATATTTCGTAAGATAATGGCTGAATTTTTTTGAAAATTCAACATGACATAGTTGGATAGTGTGGCTTTGATACCTGAAAAATGCAGAATTCAAAAAACAAAGGTCACTCCCCAATCATCGTTCAAACTAGGTAGAGAAAAAAAATGTTCAAAAAATTTCTATTATACATGTTAAACTGGTTTCGTGAATAACCCCATGAACAACACTCGATGTAGCTTAAAAAATACATCAACTGATGCAATTCTTCAAGACCTTTCAGTTGAGGTATGATCGAAAAAATTCGGATAAGTCGTTTGAAAGATATTCAATTTCGAATAATAGGTTATTCAACCAAATATCCAAAATATGAATTAGTCTCAAAAATTGGTTTCTGTCTATGAGAGTTTAACATGTATAAAAGAGAATTTTTTGAACATTTTTTTTCTCTACCTAGTTTGAACGATGATTGTGGAGTGACCTTTGTTTTTTGAATTCTGAATTTTTCAGGTATCAAAGCCACACTATCCAACTATGTCATGTTGAATTTTCAAAAAAATTCAGCCATTATCTTACGAGATATGAGAAAAAAACCAAAAAGTCTCAAACTTTTTCCCCACAGGTTATTTGACTCGTTTTTCTGTTCTCTTTCACTTTCATGGAAAACAATTTCAAGTTCATTTTAATAATTTAGCTGAGATAGTTAAATGACTTTTCTTTTTTTTATAATCACGCACAAGATGATGAGGTTACAGTCAACTTGGATGATGCTTCAATTTGGGAAGGCAAATGAAGTAAAGGCAAGATTATGCTGAAATTGCGCTGAATCAACTCATGATGATAACAATGGGAATGGGAATCAAGTTGAGAAAAAAAAGCATCAAACCAATAAAGTGAATCACTTCTATTTGATTTTACCATTAAGATTGACTTTATGATGTTGATACAGATAGTTGACAATATTAGATTCAAGATTCAGCTCAACATTTGGCACAATACGATTCTGAGGTTCTAATCAAATGAATATCTTATCCTGAATAATATTATCAGTTTTGTGTTTATTTGCATTTACCATTTGCATAGAAGAAGAAGAAGAAAGAAGAATAAAAAAAAGTAAAAATCAAACTCATTCCATGTTAACCTTTTTTTGCTCTCTTACAACCACTTAATTATGTATTAACTCTATCTAAATATTCATTTGTTTGATTCGCATTTGGATGAAACAGAAAAAGGCTTTTATATCAATCAAAAGAATCATTTCTTTTTTCCTTTCGTTTTAATAAACTTTTTCAAGTTCTCATCACACTAATGATCACACTAATTACGAGTGCGGCTGATGTTGTCATGAATGAACGCAAAATTCCTTATAAAATGCATTTTCGCTTCTGCGTGTTCTTAAATTTTTCTATTCTACTTTCGCTATCTTGACCCTTTATTTCACTTCAAGCTAAATTTATTAGATTATTGCAAGCTAATTCCTCGATGATGAATTATCGCGAAAGTATTTTTATTGAGTCGATATTATCAGTCCATAGAAACCAAAGGTTTCTGTTTTCTTAAAGACTCATCATGTTAATGTCCTTTCTGGTTACTTTAGCCTATCCCTAACCGTATGAAAATATTGGTCAATGACGAAAGAAGTCACGCGATATGTCAAAAGTGTCTGGTTTGTCAAAGAATGACACAGTTAAGGGTGATTCATCATGCATTTGTTTCGCTGGTCAGCATATTAAGGGTTCAGTCGATTGGAACTTTGTTGTTGGAGTTTTGATGGAATTTGCAACAACTTAAACGATCGACAGAGAACAATTGATCCATTTGTATTAATATATTTAAAGTGTTTTTCTTGCTTGTGTGGTTTAGTGGTGAAGTGAGAATAGATTTTGAATGAAATAATGAAGAATTTATTCTAAAAAAATTGAATTCTCTGTAAATTTTGTCCATTTCTGACCAATGATGGAAATTCTTAAACTCGATTCATCGTTTCTCTCTCGAACGTGATGTTTTGAAGCCCATATTCTTTGTTTTTCCCGTTGTGTTTGATCATGAAGTTGTCGGGAGCTTGGATTCTCATAAGTTCTGATTATTCCTCCCGGATTTAGTTTAATTTTAGCTTTCATGTGATCAATATCTTTGAAGAATCTATTCTGTTTTATCAGACTTTCAACAAAAAAACTGATGAATTCATTTTATGCACTGAATGTATTGTCTTTAATTGTGTTTCTGTTTTTTCATCCCTTTTCAGGTTTAATGCCTTACAACTTTATCTGTGTTCAAACGGGTTGCTTGCTCTCAACATTGAAATCCATGGATGATGTATTCACTTGGAGCACCTTATTGACTCTGATGGGAATCGCTTTTGTGGCCCTTATTCCTGGTCTGTTGAGTAGAAAGTTGTCTAAATCAAAGTCTCGAGAAACTTTGAACTCAACGATTTCAAGCTAAACAGTAAATAATCACACTTATGGAGTACAAAACTGTTTAATCCTCAAACTTTTATACATTTGATTCCATATCGTTTAGTCAACACCAAAGAATAAATTAGCACCAATAAATTGTAAAATTTGAGTTTTCTTTTTGTACTAACAAGAAAGAATGTCAAAAGTTTCTTCTTGTAAATGCTTCTTGCTTTTGTACTTTTCTTTTCGTCTCGAGCTGGCCTGAATTGGAATTTAACTGTGAAGAAGGGTTCATTTTAGTCGATAAAACTTTTATCTCTAAACTCTTCTTAACTCTTTTGTACAGTTATTTGCTTACAAATGCATTTGCAAAATTCTGGTTCCAAAGGGCTTTGAATGTACAGCTGAACTGTCTGTGAGATAATAAAAATTCATTCATGGTAAATGCTGTTGTATTAAAATGTCTGTTCAGTTGTGAGTTATAAATGTCAGAATTGAGTAAACAATTGATGACCAATAGACAAGATAACCATTTTTATTACCAATTCATTCAAATTTCATCAGCTCGTGTTGAATCTGTCAATAAAAATATCGTTAAACTGATAAAGTGTTTCTTTTTATGGTTATTGATACAAGGATTATATCTAAATGAGTAAATATCGAGAAGAGTAAAGTTGACCTTTTAAAGGTGGCCACAGGAAATTTTCATTTTTCGAGTGTAGTCTATCACCTGAGTTCGTAACATCAACTTTTCTCTATAACACCAGACGATTTCAGTTTTTTTACCAATACAAAGTGCAGTCAATTAGAAACCTCAAACCGAAAGCGTCATTTGAATATATGGGTTCACTTAGGAACTAGAGCTTATTGGACTAAACCAGGCCATTTGGAAGCCAGGAAAACAACTAACTAATGAATCTAATACATGTCGTTTACCTCCCTTGCAAAAGACCAAGCAAAGGTCTAAAAATCGAATGACCTATTATGATCCTTGAACTCAGCAGAACTTGTTGAGAAACAGCAGATTCCATACGAAGTCCCCAGTCTGATTACTTCTGGAGTCATTGAAGCAGATGCACGAGGCTCGCAAAAACTTACTGTAAACAAGAATCAGAATCTTTTTGGTAAAAGATAAGATTGTTTAAAAGCCATTGGAAATTGTTCTGCTTTTCATCGAATGTCTCTACTTTACTATCTGTCATCCTCATCTTTCCATGGTTTTCATCATCATCATGCTTTGAATGTTGCTCTCTCTCTCTCTCTCTCTTTTAATAATCAACATTCTCATCATCATCTGTCGACTTTTTTTTCAAGTTATCTCGTGGATAAACTTCCGGTCTATTAATAGGTGAAAATGATGATAATACTCTTAATGTCACGTCATTTAACGTTTCGTTTTTTTCTCTTGCTAGTTTCACTTTCTTTGCTTTCTTTGCTGTCACTTGTTCAAATGTTGTATAATAATAACCATGATAATAATAATAATATAAATGGAAACCTTTACACATCATATTATTACATTAATCAGTTTATCATTTATACTTTTACCTTAAACCAACCGGAACATTGGATGTGAAGTTAAACCTGATATTATGAGCTGTTCAATTCATTTTCGGTTCAACATCATCATCATCATCAAGATTATTGCAATGATTTCTTTCAACTTTTCAAATGAAAAGCCAGAAACGAAAGTAAAGTCGAGATGAGAAAATGATGAAATTACATTTGTTCTGTACTTTTCTCTCGCCATTTTCACACCTTCTTTTACTTTTTGATTGATTATCATGATAATGATTAGGGTTAATATTGATCGTAAAGTCAATACTTTTAATGAAACAAAATAGCCTGACTTGATCAATATCATTAACTAGAAAATTTTGTCTCTCACTTTGTCACAACTCTATTCCTTTACCCAACATTTATCAACCTTTACACACAGTTTCATCACTTTTGCGCTTCTCATTGAATCATGTTTATTTATTTTCAAATTAATGATAACATCATGTTCAATAACTGGTTAACAGTTGAATTAATGTTGATTAATCAAAATTACATATTAGCTTGCTACCAATTATCATCTGTAATAACTTGACAATTATGTTATTTAAATAGGTTGGCGCACCCCTGGTGCAACCCTGACTTAATGATTCAATATCAGAAAATGTTATCTGAATACATTTTCTCAATGTTCAAATTATATTCCATATTATATTCATGGAAAAGAACAAAAAGCGTGACACTTTCAATTATCATGACACGAAGTGTACTTTTTGTTTTTGTTTTTACAAGCAAATTAAATTAACCAAATCATTATATTGGCTTGTAAATTCACTTTCCTGTTAACATTCTGGTTCATTCATGAAGTTGATGTGTTCCAGTGAAATCGGAACGTCATTATGCACATGAGATATTTCACGGCATTTGGCAGATTCTTTTCAAACAAATGAATTTCTTCATGGAAGCTCTTTTCATTCACATTTTTTACAATAAAAAGTGACATGATTTATAATCAGTGTTACAAGAATTGATGAACTTGAATTTGTGATTGAAATCATTAGTCTGTAATCTCGTCAAGGTTAATATTATTGAGGGAAAGGCAACCTTTTGGTGAGACTCTCCATTGTAGTTCATGACGATGAGTCATATTTTCCCTTAAATAACACTCACAATGGAACAAACCAAGGATACTATGCATGTCAGAGAGGTCAAGGATAAGAATATCTTGTTTAGAAAGCTCATTTAAGGTCTGGGCAAAATTGTGTGTTTGGATCGACAGATCTCAAAAAGGCTCTTACCAGGGAACATTGCGAAGTGTAACCTCCGATTTTGGTGTTCTATAACTCATTCGTAAGAACTCGCCAAGTAGATAAAAAGTGTTAATTATTAGCTGCCCATACGCACTCTTGAAAAAGTTACAGGGTTTCCTATCGAAAATTGAAGGCCACGAATGATTACATCAAATGCTGACAAAATGTCAGATTTCGATTTTTTCAATCAAATTTTTTTCTTTATGTGAAAATTTAGTCTTTTATCTTCCATTTGGTACTATGATCGTAGTTTTGTGACGCACAAATCGCGCGCAAATCAATTTTGAAAGAAAAATCGATGGAAAAAATTGTGAATCTCATGAGAAAATTAACATTGAGAAAGCAAAATTTAACATTTAATTTAGAATTTAGAGAATTTAGAATTTGAGATTCTCCCATAGACAAAAATGGTTAAACTCTCAATTTTGTAACAATTTTTTTCATCGATGACTTGTGATATCATGACTGTGCTTCAGCGAAAACTTGAAGCGAATTGTGACAGTGTATCAAACTAATTTTCTCTACAAGGTCATCAACTATCTACCATTAATTATATTCTAACCTCTGTCTGGTATTCCGCATTATTCAGAGCTGATGCAACTTTTGAACTTATTAATGGAATATCTCCATCTGAAGATGTTTGGTCCAAAACGTCGGTTTATTAATATTCTGGCTACGTTGGGCAACAAGATCTCGGCCACTGAAAAAAGCTTTTTTCGCGATAAGATTGCCACCTGTCGCATCAAGCTCCAACAAACCATGGGAAGCACACCTTTTCGCTCGAAAAATTCCGAAAATGCCCTATAATATTCTTGGAACAAATCATTACACCATATAAATATTGATGTATGTGAACTATTCATCTTACAGATAGTGGTGTTTTGGCGTTTCCGATGAAAACTCATGTACAAAATTCAGAGAATCAACATTTAAATTAAAGAATTCAAATCATTTTCAAAATAAACGTCTTTTGAAATGTATTGCGCTAATTATTGAAAGGAATTGATAGTCTAAGAGAAAATATTCGCTGTTCTATGACTCAATAATAAGCCAAATCTGAATTAAAAATTCTCAAAACCCGATAGTAAAGTATATGATATTGAGGAGCATTGAATGGTAGCTGAAAACTAGAAAAATGTCACAATAATCTAGAAATATAAAATTTTAAAAAGCGATCACTGTGCAATTATTGAACACTGTCGTTTAGAGACATTCATCACATCCAAACTGGTCAAGAATGAGACCGCAAATTAGCTTGAACTTACCTTTTTTGATAGCTACTGTAAAGAGATTTGCTCTATTTTTTGTTTCATTTAATCGAATTGGTTCTAGCCTTCATTCATATTTTGAATTCCGAAGTGCTCAGCAAGCATACAATTCAGTAGTTTTTACATATTGCAATATTAAAAGTGAAAATTTGTTGCTATTAAGAATGAAAATTCAAATCTGCATTCGCTGGTTTCGACAAACGAACTACACTTAGTGTCTGCTGTTTGCAAAATTTGCTGTTTCACCATTTCTTTTAATTATTTTCCAACACTTTTTATGTCCATGCGAGCATCTCTACATTAATTACTCTCAGCTTTTTTGCTCAATTAAACTTGCTATTCATCCGATATTCCAATAATCTGACATCCAATGATTAATTAATATCTTATTTTACACAGAATGCTATGAGTATAAATTATCTTGATGAGAAAAAAGAAGAAAAAGCAATGCTAATTAACAACAATTAAAGTGTACAAAATGCAATTTTCCCAAATTGAGCCATTACCAAGTGAATGGTCAAATGAACAATGTAAATGTTGTAAAATGTCGAGTCAATATTGATGGTATAAAATGAAGAGCAACACTTTTCAGAATAAAATCAATTATCACAATTATCCTGAAAAGTTAACCATTTTTTTTCTTCCCTGCTTTCCACATTTTCCTTTATCCATTTGATTGATTGAATCATTTTTTACTTTCATTTCTTTTTATTCTTCTTCTTCCATCTTATTCACTCTTGCAGCATTAATCAGTGCAACACTTGATCCATTATCTTGTTGTGCTATGCTGACTCCCTGTTGATATATTTAATCATTTCTTCAGGGAATCTCATTGAATCATTATTTTCTCATAACTTGACTCTTTCCTCTCTTTTTTGTCAAGAATAAATTGTCACCATGAGCAGCTTTTGTGGATGAAAATTTTGCCTCCAGTTAAACAGATTCATTGAACTTGGAAAAAACAAACAAACTATTTCAATGGAATCTGCGAAAAGGCCAAATGAAGCATTGAAGGCAACATCTACTGATGGAAATTCATTTTCCTTTATTCTTGTTCACCTCAAAACAAGAGTCGAGATTCATGTTAAAACTATTAGTTTCAACATGATTATCTCAATTTATTCAATTCCATGATACATCAATGAATAGCATTTTGTTACATTCTTTTCCTTTATAAACATTTTTCAATCAATTCTGAAACAATTTCCACTTCCGTAACTTTGTTATCATTCTTATTCATCAGAATCAACTTGAAAGATAAAGAAGAAGAAGAAGAAAAAGTTTCATTCTTTTATTCACACTTTTTCCATTCCATCATCATGCCATTCATACATATTCAATCAACTGATGACTTTGACCATTACAATTGA